CATGGCTAGTAGTGGGTGAATGCCCTCTCTCTCTCTCTCTCTCTCTCTCTCTCTCTCTCTCTCTCTCTCTCTCTCTCTCTCTCTCTCTCTCTCTCTCTCTCTCTCTCTCTCTCTCTCTCTCTCTCTCTCTCTCTCTCTCTCTCTCTCTCTCTACCTGCTGTGTGTATTAATTCGTATGTTTGTGTTTGGGTTGTTGTTCGTGGTGGTGGTGGTGGTGGTGGTGGTGGTGGTGGTGGTGTTTTTTGCTTAGGTGATTAACGAAAGCCCGCTAACAGTGTTCTGCACACCCAAGTCTCTCGTGAGTACATTGGCGGGAGAATCTTGTGTTTTCCTCTTACTGTAAGACATGTATATATAACGAGGAAGCAAATCTAACGTTTTAACGGATGACATTTCTTCGTTATAATAAGATCCGTTGAGGCCGTACTGCTTCATATATGCTGTGTTTGGATATGGCAGAATACTGCAAGATCGTTAACATATCTTCTCGTTAACCTATGAATTTTGGACAATCGTTAAATTTGCGACTCGTTATAATAACATGTCTTACAGTATATTGTTATGCTGCGGATACAAACTCGCTGTGGTTTTGTTGCATACTTTTAAAGTGAGTGCCTTAGTCTGTGAGGATAGTGGCCTCCCTACTGATGCAGAAAAAGCAATCTGTTTTAGTGATGTGGGTGCTGTTGCCTAATTCCCATGGCTGGTGGGGTCAAATCTGTGCTGAATGGCCACTGGTTGGTGCTGAAGAAACCAGTGCCTATACTATAGGCAGATTGTCTCTCTGCACTGGTCATGCGTACAGGTCTACATATCTTTAGTCGTATGTCCACTGGACATAGAGCACTCTACGCAGACCGAGGACAATAGCCACCTGTCTCCATAGGCAGAGGGGTTTTCCGCACTGGTCGTATGTGCATGTCTGCATGCCGTACTTTAAACCGACCTCTAAACTCAAGGCAGTGCTTCTCTGCAAACAATGTTGTACTACGGTGCTGCTCAATGAAATCCAGTCACGTCACTCGAGTACGCGCTGGGCGTTGCGCAGCCCTAGACCTGCGAACACCGAGCTGCGAAAAGGTGCACGGCGCTAACTTGAGTGACGCGACTGGATTTGATTGAGCAGGACTGTAGTGCTTGCTTCCACTACCTTTAGATAAGTATATGGGCGTTACGACTCATGCCGTATTGTCTGGTATTAAAGCCTTTCTCATGTAGAAACCTGTTTTGAATAGAAGCCTGATTTTCAAGATACACTGTCGGCACATAAGCCTGGTTTTAGTGTTGACGTACATAGAAATACCTGTCTTGTATAGAAGCCTGTCTCATAATAGAAGCCTGCAAAATTTCCCCAAAAAACTGATATGCACGACTTTATGGTATTTGAATACATCTCTACTTGCTGTTCGGTTGAGCCTTGGCCTGAGGCTATAGAGTTTGTTGGTTGTGCTGCTGCTGCTGCTGCTGCTTTCTTGGAGCTTGCTACTGCTATTTCAAATCTTTACTGAGTTTACTCTCACCATGACCTGTGGCCAATAAGAACTGTTGTTGTGAAGATTTACTCACTAGGCAAGGGAATGATGGAAAGGGGAAGAGTCTGAAGAAAAAATTGAAGATTGCTAGCATTTCTTAGTCTGTTTTGTACTTTCCTTTCATCGTCCTCTTTGCTGATAGTACTTCATCAAGACCTCTCACTATGGTGAACGGAACAAATCGACACAAGTCAGCAGCATCAAGTATGTAGTGTTCCCTAAGCCGTAGGGCCCTCTACTCCGGTGTTTATCCCCATGCCTGGTCTCGCTGCTTCTCCACGCATGTGTGCACTGTGTCTCTGGCTATCTGTGGTCAGGCTGCACTCGGATGGAATAACTTAGTTGCTGTCGTTGTAGGCTTTTTCAGTCAACTTTCCGTAGTTGTATCAAGTGTAATCACGTCTACATGTGCATTGTCTAAGGTCTTGGCGCTCTGTGTGTGTGTGCGTGTGTGCATGTCTGTGTCTGTGTATATGCATGTCTGTGCATGTGTGTATAATTATATGCATGTCTGTGCGTGTCTGTGTGTATGGGTGTGTGTATGTGTATGCGTGCATGTGTACACAGGCCTGGCAGGTTTCTGAACGTAGCTGTGGATACACAACACCGCGATACCTTGCAGGCAGAGCTGCGCGTAAGTCCACCATCTGAACACTCCCACCACTGCCTGCTGTCCAAGAAGAAAAAGTGCCGTTCATAGCCATCAGTTGGCCAGGCGCGTAGCCCGCATGGGGCGGGGGGGGGGGGGGGCATGTGCTCCCCCCCCCCCTCCCCCCTAAATATTTCGACCTATGTTCAGCATGCACATAATGACCATGAATGACGGAGCATTGCGAGCCCTTGCCCTGTGCATTACATTGTGGTAACAAGAATCCATAACCAAGAGAATGCAACTGTGATTATTGGTCATGTGCGGCATATGTCTCCATACATGCCTCGTGCATCTCCTTGCCCATGGAGTTATCAGCGTCCTGACGCTTCTTGGCCTTCCTGCGCCAGCAGCTCTCAGAAGAGGATACTGTCTTCCTCCGCATTGAGCCAGGTCCTCTGTTTCCCAGATGGGATAGAGGGTGAGCGGGATGAAGAGTAGCACGCAGACACGGCCAACGGAAAACTGACAAGCAGCACTCAACGAAACAGCAAGTGAAAGAGAATTCTATCTCGATCTCGGCACGTGCATGTCTCCCACCAGTCACAAGTCCATGTAGCAAAACCTTGCGGTTTGTGCAGGATTACCATATTGCCCGCTGGTCCGTTGTTCTGTGCTGTGTAACGTTTCCATTGCTGGATGACGTCTTTTGTGATGTCTGGGAGTGGGCACCGTAAAATTTAGCGTTACCGTCTTTTTAGCTAAGGAACTCCTGTGTCAGTTTCTCTCTGCCCTAGATTTCTTTTCGCCCAAATGTGTTTTGCTCCTAAACGTGATATTGTTCTATTGTTGTCTTCCTTGCGCACTTGTTTACTTATGCATGCATTCTGCGTATGTGTGTGTGTGTATGTGTGCATGTGTGTGTGTATGTGTGCATGTGTGTCTGTCTGTGTATCTGTGTGTGTGTGTGTGTGTGTGTATGTGTGCATGTGTGTCTGTATGTGTGCATGTGTGTCTGTCTGTGTATCTGTGTGTGTGTGTGTGTCTGTCTGTCTGTCTGTGTGTATCTCACATGCTTGCAGGAAGTGCGAGAAGCCATGGAGAATGGCCGGCTACAAATAGAACAGCTGAGAGATGAAGAGAGACAAGTGCGCGTCGAGTCGGCAAATTTGAAGAAGCAAAAGGTACGTCGGCTTCGGGTGTTTAGTAGGTCTAACCGGCAATGAACTGTGTTATCTGTTCTCAAGGGCGTAGCGTAGCCCTTTTCAGTCTGCTTCAGAAGGTCATGTGATGCGACATAGCGGGCAAATTTCACCCTATTTTCGTTTTTGCAGCCAGGGATACTGGCTCAGCCAGCTCCTTTTATTTAGAATGTTTACGGTAAACTGCATTCATCAAACCTATGGCGCTTCTCACGAGAATTCAACGAGTCTGATTCAGCAAGCTATACATCATTGTCCTTTGATCTTGAACTTCATGTACATTCGGCTGCTTCTTGCAAACGTTTTGCTGGAGGCTCCGACATCTGGACTTTCAAACAAACATACTTCTTTTCCTCGAATGGCAGGAAGTTGGAACAAAAACCTCACAGTGTAGTCACTTCACACCAGGGAGCAGTAAAACACCGGTATTTGCTACTCCTTGCTTCACACTGCGCTGAGCCACATGCAGTCCAGTCGACGCATTCACACATGCATTGAATGAACGTTGAACGCGGACACTTTGCGATACTTTTTTTAATCATGTTTTGGGCGTTTTGCGTACATGGCTCGGCAAACCCTAGCTGTTTGTTTGCGAATTTTGCGATACGGCGCTACGCACCTGGTTCTAGTTGTAGGAATGGGAGCTTTGGTTGCTGGCAGTTTGCTGGCAGTTTGCTGGCAGTTTGCTGGCAGTTTGCTGGCAGTTTGCTGGCAGTTTGCTGGGCCTAGGTTAGACGAGGTACTAGTAGTCCTCTTTCATGTCAGGTTGCACACCATCTTGGTGTCTGAAGCTGGGTGTGTCTTGGCGCCGCCACCACAACCACCGCCAACACCAACACCACCATCACCACCACCGCCACCACCACCACCACCATTACCACCACCACCACCACCATACCACCTCACCTCACTTTACTGTACGTTATGTGTGTGATGTGTAAAGCATATGGGAGATCGGTGTGGCCAGGACTTACATGAACGTGAAGCTACGTCAGGAGGTTCAACGAGGAAGACGGATGCCAGAGCCTTGATCAGCCAAAGCTTCAATGCACGTTGACTGTCTCTTGTAGTTGCCGTGATTAGCTGTTTTGCTCTGCTGCATTGCGTCCGGGTGTTTCTCGCCCCATGCTTACGTTGTTTTTGTTTGTTGTCTCCTTGTTCTCTGTTTATGGGTGCACTGTTTGGATTAGGACGCTCTACAAGCACAGAAGGACAAGAGGAGTGGGATAGACAATCAACTTGCACTTGCCAAAAAGAAGTTAGTTCTCGCTTGCTTTATTTGCCCTAGCTCTTGTAGCCCGGGAGGCATGCGTCTGTGTGTGTGTGTGTGTGTGTGTGTGTGTGTGTGTGTGTGTGTGTGTGTGTGTGTGTGTGTGTGTGTGTGTGCTGTTGTTCTTGACAATCATCTTGTACTTTCCAAAAAGAAGTTAGTTCTCGCTTGCTTTGCTTTGCCCTAGCTCTTGTAGCCCGGGAGGCATGCGTCTGTGTGTGTGTGCTGTTGTTCTTGATTTCGAACGATGTGTGTCTGTGCCTGTGTTTGTGTGTGCGCGCGCGCGCGCCACGCGTTGTTTCTTCTCTCACCAGTCTGCAGCGTTACCTCAGTCAGAGTGTGGACCTGGAGCGTGTAGAACGGGAGGTGACGCAGGCCCTGGCAAAGGTATGTACTGTGCACTGGCTTTGTACTGAGAGTGATGAATGTACATGCGCATGCACGTGTATCTTCATGGAACTAACGTTAAAGCCTTCTGATCTCGTTACTGCATGCACTCACCTGTCAGCGGCATGCCTGCACAGTGTGCTTCTGCGCCACCTCTACATGACTGAGTCGAGACAGATAGAGCAATGTCGTGTATGAAGGCCGGGCTCGGGCGCGTAGCTCGTGTTTAGTCCGTGTAGTCCAGTAGTCACCACGCCAGCAAATGGCCGTCATACTTACTAACTTACATACCGTAATGTCGCGTATAAAAGCAGGTGCTTACGGCCGTATAAGCCGGGGTTCAAACCGTGCTTCTATTCAAGTTATGCTTCTATTCAAAGCATGCTTCTACGTCAACATCTTCAGTCTACACTGTACAGTGCACATTGTCACACATGTTGTGTGCAAGTACATGTGCTTCTGTGTCATGGCACGCTTTGGAAAATCGGCTTCTATTCGAGTCATGCTTCTATACAGGTCATGTTTTTATACGCGACACTACAGTAGTCCAAATAGGCAAAATGGCAGCTATGAGGTTGCTGGTGGTACATGGTCACCACACCACAGATGTGAGAGCTACACCTGCGGGGCTTTTTTCATGTAGAAGCCTTCTATTCAAAGCAGCCACTTCTATGTATGTCTATACTGAAATTAGACCTCTGTGCCGCCAACCAATCTTGAAAATCTGGATTGCATTCAAAACTGGCTACTGTGTGTGAGACAGGCTTTTGAACAAGACAGTATGGTAGTATTATTCTCTGTGCGGATCTACTGTGGTTCTAAGGAGCGTGCGCGCGCGTGTGTGTGTACTTGATGCTGCTGCTGCTGGTGGTGTGGCATGCTGTTTGTTCTGATCTCTAGACAAATCAGAAGCGAACGGAGACAGCGTATGACATGTCACAGTGTGTGAAAGTAAGCAGTGTGTCAACATTCCAGAGTGTGTTTCCTTCTCATGTACTGGCTGGCCTTGACTGGTGTCTTGTGTGCCTGCTGCTGCTGCTGCAGTGCTGGAGCAGCAGGTGAGACCGCTGATCCTTGGTTGGTCATGCAGCTGGTTGTGGAACAGTAGTGTTTTGAGCCCCGTTTCCCTAGCCAGGATTGGTTGCACAGAGGTGTAGCTGGCCCCCCTTTTAGGGGAGGGGGGGGGGGATGGGGGGGGTGCATGGCCGCACAATGTGTATGATGGCTGGTGCATGTATGTCATCCATGGTCATTATGTGCATGCTGAACCTAGATTGAATTCGGGGGGGGGGGGGGGGGGTGCATGTGTCCCATGCTGGCTACACGCCTGGTGCATGAAACCCGTGTTTTTCATGCCGGGGTGGCGTAACCGGTCCGGTTGCTCACCGCCAAGGAGGTCATGTGCCCACGTCACAACACACAGACAACGTATGGCCGGACTACGGTATGGCCGGACCATCGGAACGCTGCTTCCGCCGGTCCTGGCACGGGGTGTGTACTCGCGGACAACGTGCTTTTTTCACTGTGCAATGTCTACTCTCCAGTGTGGCTCTTGTCCTCGCCTGGTTTTGCCACTGCATTTCCAATCTTTCAAACCAACACTAAGCCCATTCATTCACTCAACACTCGCTCACATATACTACAGTTGCGCTCGATGAAATCCGACCCGGAGTGCATATTTGGCACCCTCAACTGGCACGGCCCTTGACGCCCTGTAAGTGGCACAAATGCGGCTGGATATACATATAGCTGTTGTGTGTGTGCGTGTGTGTGCGTGTGTGTGTGTGTGTGTGTGTGTGTGTGTGCTCGCGTGTGCGTGTGTGCTGTTCTTTGATCTCTGCCAGAAAATGCTGAATCTCTCAAATGAGAAGATACGGCTGGAGCTGCAGCGCTTGCAGTTGAACATGTTGGAAGACTTCCTTTCAGGCCAATGTGATGTGGCCTCGACTGGCTTGAAGGAAGCTGAGGTTAGTCCCATGACGTCTGTACTGCACTGTTGCAGGCTTCAGTTGTCTCATGTCTGCACTGCACTGTTGCAGGGTACAGTAGTCTCATGTCTGTACTGCACTGTTGCAGGGTACAGGTTACTTACCCGTAGAGACCAGGGCTACCACTTGTTCCGGTTTGTCGGAAACACTCTGATTTTTACAGGTCGTTCTGACAAACCGACCGAAAACAATCTTCGTTTCCTTACTGGGATTGTTCTCGAAAGTGCCCTAGTCTGTTGTTTCAGGCTCTTAGAATCCTAAAAAATGCTTTGGCTTCTAAAGGAAGCACTGCCTCCTTACCCCTCGGCCCCTGGCCGGGGGGGGGGGGGGGGGGTGATCATCGTAGTATGAGCTGCACACCGACTTGTTTTGGGTGAATTACGACTGTTAAACGTGCGGCTTATACTTTGAAAAATACGGTATGTTTGCGGTCGTCTAGTCACTTACCAAATTCCTGACTGCGTATCATCACCATTATCACCCTAACTCTTAAGCCCACGTGCAGGGGCAGGCACTGCTAGGCAAACACAAAATATCTGACTAGAATGGAGGGTTGACGCTGAGACAACTTTCGGTGTATTTCCTTTCGTCTGCAGCACAACTTTGATGAACTGGAGAAACGCTCAAAGTCCTTGAAGGAACAGGCCAAGCAGAAACACCGGCAAGCGAAGCAAATGCTCGGTATCCGTGAGGATAAGCCATCAGCTGACGTCATTGCGGTAAGGGCATGTCAGTATCGTGCTGTGCTGACCTTGCTCCTCTCACGCCCTGCTGCCTGTGCAGGGCCTCTCTGTGTGCTCGTCGGTGCATTCTTCTTTCTTTTCTGTATTTATTCATGACCTTCATGACGTGTGTAGAGAGTGGTTTCACACCTTTGTGTTGTGACTAAATTTGTGTAGAAAGTGATGATGTCATGTGAAAAGTGGAGCCAACATGTCCACCGACATCATGTGACTCATAGATGCAGGAGTTTAGTGCCGAGTGGAGTGGAGTAGGAACCAGCATGGCTGTCCCGTATGGTCATGTGATAGATGTGAAACCACTCTATATGGAGCTCTCCTCATCTATATGTGGCCACGGGGGCAGCTGTTTTAGTTCCAACAGACTCCGATCACCCTCTGTATTGATGAGTCGCCTGATCGGCCGTTCTTGGTGCATTCTTCTTCATGTGCCGTGTACACGTTCTGCATAAACGCAGTCACACGATTAACACGAGTTGCATTGAGTGGGTCGTGAGAGCTAGTGTACTCTCTGCGTCATCATGATGTGTCCCCTTAAATTTCTTTTCCATGTAGCTGCTGATGCTGGCTGGTTGTTGCTGAAGCAACGAGTTACCTGACTGACTGGTAGCTGGGATGAGCTGGATACTGATTTGATTCTCTCCGTCTCCATGTGTCGGTGCTTACGTGTGTGTGCATGCGTGTGTTTATCACAGGTGTTCAACAAGTTCCCGAGCACGCTGATTGAAATTGACGACATGATACATGATCTGAAAGCCCGTGCCGATCTCAACTATCACACAGACCCCAAGGTACAATGCCTGGATCTACTCTTGATCCCCCTGTAGAACACACGGATGTACTAATCTTTTAGTCTAAAATCTCTCTAAATTCCGAATCGCTGATAAAGTGAACAGTCTTCCACCCCCACCCCCACCCCCCCCAATGACACCATTTTGTTTCGAAAAGTTCCATTAATAACGGACGGCCCTGTAGTGAGCCTGCATGGTTTGAGAAAATTACCGGTATGCTGCATCATGAACTATATTTTGTAGGAACTGGACCAGCTCGGTCTGGCCAGAAGGCATATCTGCCTGTTCACTTGGTGAAGTACAGCAAAAGGCAACAACAACAACAATCTCTTATTGGCTACTGGCTGTCGTGTGAATAAAGTTTTGAAACAACAACAACAACAACATCTCAACAGACCATCGTGAGAATAAAGATTTGAAACAACAATAACAACTTGGAAGTAGTAGCTAAATTACTGTTGTGTGCTTCTTTCTCTGGGTTGTATTCCCTCATGTCCTTACAGTTGCTATAGTGTTATCCCTGTATTCATCGCTACATCTGTCTGTCTTTCCTCTTCCCACTTGCACTCAGGTTGTGGAGGAGTATGAGAAGAGAAAAGAAGAAATTGAGAAGATGGAGCAGTCGGTAAGCACCGATGCCGCCCGTTCAGATGTGTCTACATTGTCGAGCAGAATGGCGTACTTCCGACCGTACATTGTACCCTGTTCTGCATGCATTGTACATTGTACAGTAGTACTGCATGCACTTGTCCTCAGTGTCACGGTGCTGTGTTTCAGTATATCTGCAAGTTATTCCAGTTGTTGGCTCTCGTGGCTTTCCGATTTGTGTTTTTGGCTCTTTTTTCTCCTTTGCTGCCGGTTTGGTTACTCATGTTTGCTTGTGCTCTCTCTCTCTCTCTCTCTCTCTCTCTCTCTCTCTCTCTCTCTCTCTCTCTCTCTCTCTCTCTCACACACACACACACACACACACACACACACACACACACGTGCACACACGCGCGCGTGCACACACACACACTCTCTCTCTCTCTTCCGTTCTCTTCTGTTCTTTTGATCAGCTGGACACAGAAAAGGACGACCTGCAGGGCCTCACTACTGAAATCACAGAGATCAAAGAAAAGTAAGAACTGCACCAGCTGTATGACATCACTGACCGCACTCGGGGTAGGGCCGTAGGGATGAGGGGAGGTAGTAATGTTGTGGCATCACGGGTTATGCTGCACATGACATCATCACTGATGATGCACAAGGATATACGTTTGTGTGGTCTGTATGACGTCACTGACCGCACTCGGGTGGTGTAGTAGTGTTCTGACGTCACAGGTACTGCTGCATATGACATCATCACTGATGCACAGGGCACGGCTGTTTTTTTGTGCGATTTCACGCCACTTAACAATATGGCTGCCGAAAGTCTCGATTGGGCTTCAATGGCAAGAAATTTTGAATTTTCAAATCGTCAGAACACGAGTAGGCCATGGTTTCCCCTGGATTTTGGAGA